AATTTTCAAACATTAGTAAATCTTAAATCATTTAAATAATTAATTTATATTATTTAGTTATTTAATTTTCATATTTTTTCCCACGTTTGACTTGTACCAATTATTCATTTTCATTTGTTAGGTCTTAATATGTATATATAATAATTACATAAATTATGGAGATTTTTGTATACGATGTCTACATGTTTTCATTCGAGGTCTATTTTCATATTAAAATTAAAATATTAATAAATACATAAATGTAAAAATAATAATATATGTGTATTTATTATTTAATTAGATATTATCTGGTAAAACATCATTCAATAATACACAAATGTATAAATCTGACTCTATTATCTAATTATCGAATTTTAATTACAATAAATTTATTTTACATTACTAACATTGCTTACTTGTATAATATAACATAATATTATAATTATTTATAAAAATAATTATCAAAAAATATTTATCATTAATTTCTACATTATGAATTATGATTTGACGTTTCTTAAAATATAGACCGCATACGACAAGAATACCTTTTAATTCAATAAATGCTTACATCATACATTATAATCATCAAAAATATATGTGTAAAATATTTATTTAACCTAGCTCATCTACCTATGAGGTAGATATACATTTATATTAATATTATATGAACGACTATGCATACTTTATTATCTTAATAATTATTATTTGTATTTGGCTGAGGACCGTTGTCATTTTGATTTTGTCAATAAAATTATATAAATCAGGAGTAATAATTACTCTATGATGTATAATCACATTACCAACGGGCAACGACAAGTGACAACATAATATTCCTCATACGTAAGTACTATACACAAAAAAGATTTTCGATCAAAAACCTTGAAACTTCATTTGAAAAAAAACTGTAAAAATTAACAGGTTATTGTCGGCATACTCGTATACGGCGCATCAACTTTAAAATAAAAATATTAGTTTTAGTATTTTCTCTGAACCTGTAATATCAGGTGTAGGTATATTAGGAGTAGCATATTGGTTAGGAGTAGTGAGTTGAGTATCGGGTGTACGTACTCTTGACACATCGCCATCACGCATCTTATCTTATATATAGTCTATAAGAAATACAAATAATAAGGATATAAATACAAATTGTTTTATTATGTCGTAAATTTTTTTTCAGAACAAATTGTGGGCATTGATTGAACCCATCAGCCATGCCGGACAGAGATACCAACTCTTCGATGAACAGTCACGACGATACATATAAGTGTTCGTTGGGCAGCGACGACTTCATACTCGTAGAAGAAATCGTTTCCGGTCGGAAAACGAGCACCGTGGAAGCGGTGCAGGGAATTTGTCTGTGTGTGAAGCAGAAACTCAGATGGACAGTGGCCATGAAGAACGTGCGACGCAGGGTGCCGATATTGAACTGGTTGCCGCGTTACTCGGTCCAAGACGGACTTGGCGACATAATGTCGGGCGTGACCGTCGGGTTGACGGTCATACCGCAGTCGATGGCGTACGCCGGTTTGGCCGGTCTGCCACCCCAGTACGGTCTTTACGGTTCGTTTCTGGGCACGTTCATCTACACGTTCGTGGGCAGCTGCAAGGACGTGCCCATGGGACCGACGGCCATCGTGTCGCTGATGACATACAGCACGCTGCACGGCTACGGTCCAGAGTACGCCACCCTGCTGTGCTTCCTCACCGGCGTCATCCAGCTGGCCATGGGCGTCTGCGGCCTGGGCATAATCATCGACTTCGTGTCCGGTCCCGTGTCGTCGGGTTTCACGTCCGCCGTGGCCCTGTTGATCATCGCGTCCCAGATAAAGGACCTGATCGGTGTGCACGGCACCGGGTCCAGTCTGTGGGAAATGATGTGTTCCCTTTACAGGGACATCGACACGATTAGCTACGGCGACACGGTCATCGGGGTCGGGTGCATTGTGCTTCTGTTGGTGTTGCGGGTCATCGCCGAAGTCCGCATCGGCCCCGCGGACCCGGAACAACAGAGCTGCGTTCAGAAATACGCCAACAAGAGCTTCTGGCTGATAGGATCGATCAGGAATTCCATAATCGTCATCAGCTGCACCGTCATGAGCTACCTGTTCATAAGTGCCCAAGACGAGTCGTTCGCATTGCCGTACAAGATAATCGGTACGATTCCGGCGGGTCTCCCGGAATTCCGTCTGCCCCAGTTCACAATGCAGCGGGACAACGAGACCATTGGCTTCTTCGACATAATGTCCACGATGAAGTCGAACGTGGTCGTTTTGCCGTTGATTGGTCTGCTGGAGAACATATCCATTTGCAAGGCGTTCGCCAATGGCAAGACCGTGGACGCGACGCAAGAACTGTTGGCCATTGGCCTGTGCAACATCGGAAATTCGTTCGTGCAAAGTTTTCCGGGGTCGGGGTCGTTTAGCAGGAGTGCTGTGAACAACGCCAGTGGAGTGCGAACTCCCCTGGGAGGGTTGTACACCTCGATCCTGGTCATCGTGGCTCTGCTGTTTTTGACACCATATTTCTATTACATACCCAAGACTTGTCTAGCAGCGGTCATCATAACGGCAGTGGTGTTCATGGTGGAAGTGAGAGTCGTCAAACCGATTTACCGTTCGAAGAAAAGCGATCTGATCCCGGGCATGTTCACCTTTTTCGCGTGCCTGTTCTTGCCCTTAGAGATTGGCGTCCTGTTCGGCATAGGGCTGAACCTAACTTCGATTTTGTACCACGCGGCTAGACCCAAAATATCCATACAGGAGTACAAGACTCGCGCCGGTTACAAGTATCTGATGCTGACCCCGGACAGGTGTTTGGTATTTCCTTCGGCCGATTACGTCCGTAACCTGGTTACAAAACACAGTCTCAAACGGGATATGCCGGTGGTCATCGACTGTTCTCACGTGTATGGAGCTGATTTCACAGCAGCCAAGGTCATCGAAATGCTAACTAAAGATTTCTCGGACAGGGGACAGGCTTTGTTTTTTTATAACCTCAAGCCTAGTGTTGTTGATGTGTTTAGAGGCGTCAAACCAAAAGAATTGGTGTTTTACTACAACAAAAAAGAATTGGACAGACTACTTCTAAAATGGACTGAACAGCGCCACACAATGTTACAGCCGTTGCTACAGGAAAAGTGAATACGATTTGTCTGATTTCTCCCTCATCGAATTGTAATTGCTTTAACTTTTGATTTGTTGTTTTTTTTTTGGAATGGGGGAGCTCATAAATATCCAGCTGATAAAAATTGACTATACCGAGTTTTTGTACATAAAGTGATTATATGTTAAATGTTTTAGAAATGTAGTACTGTGTACAATGACACATGCAGTATCCTGTAAATACAGTTACAGTAAGGTATCTATTTTATGTCAAGGATTGGTTTCGTAGTTAATCATTTTTGTGTAGGTAAATATGTATTTCTAGTTTTGACAAATCCATATAGTCATTCAAGACTCATGCAGAAATTAAAATTATACATGAATTAAATTACAAAACAGGTACCTAATAAATTAAAATGCAATAGACTTATGTAAACTATCTTTTGAGGTATCTACCTAACTATTAATACCATAGCCAGGATTTTTTTTCATGGGAGCTAAAATATTTTATTGCTAGGGTACTACCGAGTAAAGTAAGTTTGATATTTGGGGGGAGGGGGAGCTTAGGTTAGGTATATCTACCCCTAGCTACAGCACTGCAGTATCTACCTAGTTATTCATCTCAATTCTCAAAAATCTTAAATGAGCTTAACAGCTAACAGATCCCTGTCATAAGAACCTAATAGTGTTTTTAAAATAAAAGATATAATACAGGTAGAATTGGCATGGTCAGGTAAAGGGGAAGGTTAGGGATTATATTCCCAATCATTCTCCTATAAATTTCCTTTTTTGTTTCTTTAGTAATACCACCATAATTAATTCAAACGTATTATTACTTATATCACCCTCTATAGAAAATTCCTGGGCACGTCACTGTTTGTTTAGGTTAGTCATACACAGACAACAAACCTTATTATATTATAAGAAATATAAGCCAATGATTTCATAAAAAAATTGTATAAAATGTACCTATAATTTGGTGTAAGTAGGTAGTAGGTCCTATCTACATATAGAAATATAATATAGGTAGTGGCCATTTATTGACATAGATCTCTATTTACTACTTAGCCACTTTACCTATTGCCTATAAGTTCCTGACTATTAATTTTCATAAATTGTTTGTGTCATGTGTTTCCATCAACCAACTTCAGGTCACTATTCAACTAGCTATTCAACAGTTGGAGCTTTCACTAAGTTCTCAAATTCTAGTTTTATAAAAGCTAAAATTTGATTTAATTCTCAAATGCTATATTCTCATCATCTGCTAATATTGTATGTGACATATTATTATGTGACATGTTCCAATTAATAATTGTACCGGTGAATGAATAATACTATTTTTGTTTTTATGTTGTTCATAAATTAAAGATATTACAATATAATCTCAGTATTAGGTATAGTTCTAATCTGTAACTTTAAATTAGCTATAAATTCCTAATTAATTACATTGTTGAATATGTATAATTGTTGTTGTTAAAATATGTATTAGTTTGTAACAAAAAATGTATCTATTCAATGTCGCAAAATTAAGTAAATAACGAAGATAAGATTTCATCCACCAAGTTCAAATTGTTTATTTTGAATTATAATATACTAGTATTTATTTTACAATAATCAAAGGTTATAAATTAAAACTAATAAGCTTACAACACAATTAAGTGTTTACACGTAGAAACAAAGAATAATAAATAAATACAAAATTGACTAGATTATACATTTGTAGGTTACTATTCAGTATAGGTAAATATTATTTTCAATAAAAAATGAATTTCAGTTATTAATCTATAATAAAAACTAATATAGTGTCATACTTCCATTATATATTATGATTACAATGGTTATATTGTTAATAATTTGTATGGAGTTTATAAAACGTATTGAATAATATTGAATGGTCGACATTGAATAAAGATATATACATTTTTTTTTTTTTTATTTGGTTTAAAATTAATAAAACTAATAAGTATTTTCCTTTAATTGAGGTGTTAATGAGAGATATAAATTAAAATTGTTGTTCCTACTTATGTCTCTTTTCTACATCTAGGATGATTTGGATAACTTAAATTAACCATTATTATTTTAATTAAATTTCTGATTCAGTCTTATTTTTTTCAACTTTTAATTTATTCAAACAGATTATTTAATTTTTACGTAGTAAATAAGATTTAAGTAACTACCAGTGCGTCTCTCATGATAAATAATAACTGGGAAAGTTCAGAAATAAATAATTGTAATATAAACTAAACATTTAAAATCATTAATAATGCTAACCATGCATTTATATTTTAAAGCAACACTTCAGATTAAAATGTATATTGATAAATAAACTGCAGCATTGAAAAGTATGTAGTTGCAATTATTTATGAAAATCATGGTTAAAAATTTAAATTAATAAATAATTTATAGACCCTTCATTTAAAATAAAATCCAACATTCATTCAAAGTTTTACAAACTGGAAAATACTCAATTCAACATCTAATTTTCAATTAAATTACATGTAGTAGATCATAATATGTTACAGAATTTATGAAATAGTCAAATGACCTATACAATTAATATTTATACTTTATAATGTGGTGGATTTCTTTACTGGAACTCAATGTAATCTTAGGTATTTTTATAAATTAAAATTTGAATAATTTTGTATGTGTACATAATATATAAACATGAATAGTATGTATATAAATAGTTATTTTATGTTTCATCTGTTTTTAAATATTTATTCAACATCTGTTAATAAATCAATACGCCTGAATATTTTAATGAGTAGTTTTATTCTTTTTTCTCATGATGCACATCTGAAATATGAAATATCATGTCGATTAAATTCGTAACAGTACAAAACAAAGGTCAATGTATCATTAAAACAGTCAATATGAAATAAAAATGTATGCATTTTTAAGATAGTTAGATACATGTTTAGTTTTAATTTGGGTTCATTTAAGCAGCCTTTAACAAATCTAAATAAATATTTATTCAGCCAATGAGTCAGCAGCCGAAAAAAAATATATGCATACTAATATTGTACTGCATTTTATAAATTAGAACAGAAATACTAAATATGAATATTTTGAAAGAAAAAATAATATCATTCATAAAGAGAAAATTTAAAAAATACAAATTTTTAACAAAAAATTGTTTTCACGTTTAAGTTCAAGCAACATTTGCATACAATTCAAGTTATTATAATAATTTTAAATGTCTGTATTTATTAGACATACCTTCTTCATCGTCATCACTAGCATCCATAATGTCTGTGCAACATGTAGAATAGCATATTAATAGTAGGAAGCCTATAGGCAATCCAAATAAAACACTAGCAACTGCAGGATTGTTAACCCAAATGTTTACTAAGGACTTCTTTGTCTCATAATACATCCTGTACATCTGTATAAACACACCACTTCCTCCGTATGCCTATTTAAAATATGATTCATTGATTATTTGAATATAAAATTCATCATGTTCATATTTGGATATAAAAGAATAAATGATTACCATACTAAAGTAAATATAAAATATATTATGCACATCATAATTAAATTGCATAAAATTGGTTGTTATTACCTTTACTGATTGATTTCTTACAGCTTCTAGAAATATAGTAATTGATTCAGGTGTCAGTTCATGTGGTTTTTCTTTTGGAAAATGATGATGTCTAGTAGAGGAATTGTAAATAATTAATGATGGCAGTGATACATCTGATGAAGTAATAGAACTGGCGAATTCTGGTGAACCAATCCATCCAAATTGAAAGTTCCTAAAAGGTAATATGATTTATTTAACTGATTTAATCTTAAATATATATAGTATGTTACCTATGAAAACGTTCTCTATTCTTCACAATAACTGATTCTACCATCTGAAGAAACCTAAGAAAGACACCTAATTAATTTTTTTAATTTTGATGGTTCAATATATTTTTAATATATAAATTGATAATAGTTTTCAATTTTAAGAATAATATAATTACTGAAAAACACAACAGTAAATATTTTTACTATAAAATCAAATTTTAGAATTTTCTTTTCCCAGTGTAAACTAATTTAGATTTATGTTGCATAAATTAATTAGAACCAACATGAGGAATTTAAAGTTCTATAATATGAAAACTAATTTGCATGTAGCCAATGAACAAACAATATTTTAAACATTATTCATACTTACTCTGAATGGTGGGGAGGTAACTTTTCAATTTTATTCTCTTCCACTAAGGCTAAAACTAAGTACTTGTTGGTCTCCAACATATGGTGAATATTTGATCGAGTTACTTTTACAAAAGTATCAAATCTCTCTGTGTTTATCCATTGTGTTAAGCTTGTATTGAAGTCCATATCCCATTCATCAGCTAATATTAATTACAACATAATTAAAACTTGTCAATGTTTAATCATAATTAATTTACCATTGAAAGAGTAGTGTTGTTCTTCTTTATACACCACAACTGCGGGAGTTTCTCCAAAAACAAAATGCTATAAATAAGTATTTATATAATACAATGTATAGTATAACTAATCATACAAAATATTTTTTCATTTATCATTCACTTATCACATATGATGTCAAAACAGTTGAAAAATTAACTTTAAATACTAGTATTATTCAATTCATAAATACCTGTTTTCCAGTTATTTCAGGTGTAATATAAAAATAAGAATGTGCTTGATATTGTTTTGCCAAATCATAAAAGAGGTCCTGGGAAAATAGTATACAATTTGTAAACAATTTCTATTTTATTGAAATTATTAAATTATTAAATACCCAAGTATGGCCAACACTTTTCCCAATAAACATAAAGAAGTTTTTTTTTGTTTGTTTGAGCATTTCAATGTCTTTACTATCAGTGACCTCTTGAACGGGAGGACGAGCCAATCGCTTTGCAAAATGAACCATTTCTTCTGTAGATCGCTCGCTATTAAATTTAAATTCACCTTCTCTATCTCTAAAGCTATAAGGCAATACAAAATATAATTATTAATATTAAAAATACTGAACTATATAATGACAATTACAGATAAATTGATAACATACAACATGATTGTAGGATACCCTGACAATCCAAACTCTGAAACTACTCTTTTATATCTTGTACAATCTATTTTTCCAACCCGTATATCAGAGTGATGTAGTGCTTGAGCAACATGACGCCAAATAGGTTCTAACTTCTTACAATGGCCACACCACGGAGCATAAAACTAAAAACAAAAATTTGACAGCAATTTGAATATGGTATAAGTTTTAACTTAAAAGTAAGTTTCTAGGTTTTACTATAACAAATAAAATTTAATAGAAATTAATAATTTTATAATTTATTTGTAAATTATTCATGATTACCATTATGAACCAATGTCCATCGTTTTTCATTTCAATAAACCTAAAAAAAATATGCATTATTGAATAAAAATCAGTACACAATATAGTACATAATAATAATTATTAATTACTAATTACCCATCACTAAGTTCCAATACTCTTGATGAACGTACGTCTTTTAGCAGAATGACAGATACTAAAACATTGTAATAATTTTAAATATTTAGTAATTTAAACTATACAAGTATAAAACAATATATTTTATTCATTGCAACACTGACGCATAGTTAGATCCTTTTAAAGTTTTTTTTAAATTTCGAATTAGTTTTACTGGGTTATATTAATAGCCCCCTCCCCCCAAAAAAATATCCTTCATTGATTTAAATATAAGCCCGCTATTGGTCATTTTATATTAATTTTTTTGTTACGTGGGTTTTGGCCCTCACATAATTTTAACCCTAGTTGCATCTATGTATACATCTTTGGTATTATGATTTTAAAGGAAAAATTAAAAGACAAATAATAATGCATGATTATTGTTATTTGAATGTTTTTTTTTGATAAAATATTAATATCTAGGCACTTTGATTCATATTTCAAAATAATACTTACCTATATAGTACTGTGGGAAAAATTAATATAATTTTTTAGGATTTTAAGACTTTGTAAGCTTATGAATTAAATTAGAAGTTTTAAATATATTAGTCTTGATTAACTTCAAACTTGCATCTTGTTCCACTCTTTTCTTATACCTATATAGTATTAATATTTAATATTAGCAAGTAACACTTACCAATAAAACCCAGAGTTGTAGTAAATATATTAGAGATCATCATTTTTGTTCTATATTTCTCTTATAAAAAAATTGTATATTAATGTATTGTGTAATATATTATACTATTATACTATTATAAATTTTACAGATTATACACATTTCTCAAATTACATACATTATCATAAAATGTATGCATTAGTAGAATAGTTTAAAACTGAACTGTAAGTAAAATCGTAACATAAGTACCTAATAGATCACTGTTGAGTATTAAGTATTGACATAATAATTAACTAATAAATGTAAGATTAGTAAGTAGTAAGTACAACTTAGTACATACTACATTAGGTGTTTAATCGTTTAATGTTTATGTTTATTATCATGGTCTTAGAATCTTTATCAGTTATCACTTATCAAGTTATCACCAAAATTCACGGAGGACTTGATAAGTTCATACCGCAGACGTGTTATTCCGTGTTCATAGTTTCATACTTTCATCACAGAATAGATTAATTAGATAATAGATTATTTAATCAATTCTGTGGTTTCATACCACTGTAAAAATTATAACTATAGAAAAGTATAATAATTAAATGACACTCGGCCGCTGATCTGAACCAGATTATTGTGCTATGCTGAACTGAACATCCTAGAAACATGGGAATAGAAGACTAAAATTGCCACATTTATATTCCAGAGTTATTCAGTTATAAATTAATGACACTCACATACTGAGTGGACCTTAGGTCATATACGGTCATATAGGTATGATCCAAGGTGTGGATTACTCAATGACCGTTGTGGCGTTGTACTGATGTGGACTGTGGCTACCAGTTGGGCCTAGTCGGACGGATGTGGCTCAGAAGTGGTAGTCGGCCACCCGGGTAAACAAACGTACAAGTCAACAACCCATAGGTTAAATGATGAAATAATCTCATTCTCGTCTTGTAGAGAGCCTTATATAAGTAACTGTGTACAACCACATAAGTACAGAACAATATTGGTATTCAGTAGTTGAGTCATGGGCCTAAATCTCTGTCCTCCGATGTCCAATCAAAGAATAGGTGCCATTTCACCTATTCTGTGGTTCAATTGTTCAAACTTCAGATCACAGGTAAACAAAAATCTGATCAGCTGATCGAGTGTCATTTCCGATATGAGTGTTTAGTACCATGATTAGATAACTATCATTATTTTTCTATGTTATTATATATAGTTGGTACGAGCGGTGGCGAGCACGGAATAAAAGTACGAGGTCAATGGTTATATTGTTATAACGTGATTAAATTGTGATAAGGATACCGGGTTTTTAGTCTTTAAAAAGAATTATTAGTCTCGATTTCTCGACTCTTGAGTCTACACACTACAGTATGTCAGTGTTCCACATTGGCACAAACGTCTAGTTCTCGTACAGTTTATGAGTCCAGACGTTTGGTACTTTAGACTTATTACTTATTTACAAATTACAACTAATCTCACATTCATAAATCATTGTTCATTTATTTGATTTCTTTCAACATATTGAGCCATTCTGTTTAAACCTTAATAATATTTTCTTCAAAAATGATTAGAATTATTAAAGTAACTAATCGTATCTGGGGAAATGTAAATCACGCTCAAAGGTTATCGGCGAGTGTCTTGCGTTTTTCTACTTCTACCGTTAAAGGTTTTTATGCTTTATACTTCTCAGTAAATTGTTTTAAGAATGAATTTTTACCTAAAACTTTATTTCTAGATCGTTATTATACCGACAAACATGAATGGATTGATGTGAAGGATAATATTGGTACCATAGGAATTTCAGATTATGCTCAAGTAACTATTTAAAAGATTATATGCTTATAAATGTTTAAGATATCTATCTAAAACCTTCAAATACATTGTATAATAATTAGTTAATATTCTATTAAATTTATTGAAAATGAAAAAAATAGCTTGGCTGAAAATATTTTTAAAATAGATTTTTAACTTCCAAGCTTAGAAATAATTGTAATTATCATTTATCTTCCTACCTCGTGATTTTTTTCTTAAAAATAATTGAACAAATTATTTAAATGTCAGAGTAATTTTTGTATTAGTGTTAGGTAATTCATTGATTTTGCTCAGTTGTCAAAATACTTAAAAAAGTTTTATTTTAATATTTTGTGCTGTATAGTAATCCATTGTGTAGTGTAACAAAAATTTAAATTATAGAAGTGTTAAAAGTGCAAAACCTCACCTAAAGAGGTTATCAACAACTAGATTAATTTTATCAATTAAAAATTAAAATGTATTTTTCATTTGAATTTATCTCTAAAAATTGCTATGTTTACTAGTATTATAATTAAATTAATTAGTATACTTACTTCATAATGAATACAGAATGATTATTAATACATAATACAAAAATCATACATTCTTTCAGTCAATATGTAGTAGGTGTGTTCATATTCCTAAATTGCTAAGTGCGTTAATACATAATACAAAAATTCTAAGAAGTACATTACAACTGTATGTATTTCCTATCTATGTACATAATAAAATAGCGCTATATTACTTTTTAAACTCAGAAATAACTTAACTCGTTCTAATGAGAGAGCACACCGATTCTGCTCATCCCACACAACACCCTGTTATAGAGGAATTAATCTTAATGGCTGGGTGTAATGTTTTGATATGTAGAAAAACCAATGTTTATTGGGCCTCTACATTTTCTTCACTGGACAGATGGTAGTTACAATGATGTTACTTTTAATACTTTTATATCTCTAAGACTAAGGACTTAGGATGACAAAATGTTGAATAAGTAATTTATGAAAGTTCACATTTAACTTAATTTTATTTAATAATGAATCTTCAAAATTATTGTCACTTATTCCCGATTATTTTTTGGTGCAAATATCTCCAATTATACTAAAAAGGTAATTTACTGAAGCTCTTAGAAGGACTTATGCATTCATTTTTAGAAACATTAGTTCTATCATTAGTAAACCATTTAATATTTTTTGATTGCCTCAATAAAGGGTATTATATAAAAATGCTAAATTTCAGCTGATTCACATATTACCTAGATACTAATTTTGAATTCAATTGGTTCAATTAAAAAAAATTTTTTTTACAGAATTGATAAAAATGTAACTTGTTTTTTAATAAAGTTACTTATAAAATGATTAACTTAGTTATTTTTGATTTAAGAAAAGAATAGAAATGTTGTCTTAATTAATTTAGAATATTTTTAATACATAGTATACTAATCAATAATCATTTTTATACTATTTTAGGATGCTTTAGGTGATGTAGTTTATGCTGAGCTGCCGTCTGTTGGAACGGAAATAATAATAAAAGGTATATAGATACTACGTATTATATTAATTGCTATATTGCAATTAGCCGAGAGTAACAAGTAACCTGTTTGCTATTTGAAAATTTGAAAACACCCTTATTTAAACATTTTCCATACAAATAGTTGAGAGTAAGATTGTTTTTAAAATTTTCATAAAAATCTATGACTAGTAAAATATATTTTTTTGAAACTTTCTATCTAAAGAAGTGCTAAAGAAGAACCAAATTTTAGTTAAGTTTAATATCTCAATTATTATTAATGTATATAATTATACATATTCAAATGTATGCAACTACTTAAAGACAATTCTATTGATATTTTTGATGTTTGTTTCTCTACATAGTTTACATGCAATTTGTACTTAACTTATTAAACTGCTATAGATGAATGTGGTGCATTAGAGAGTGTAAAAGCTGCAAGTGAACTATACAGTCCTGCATCCGGCAAAGTAGTTGAAATAAATTCTCAGGTGGAAACAAGACCAGCATTGATAAATCAATCTTGTTATGAAAATGGTATAATATATTCAATTTTTTTATTCAATTTTGTAATTTCAATAATTTATTTTGTAGGATGGCTTTTCAAATTAGAACTATCATCTCCGGAAGAAATATCGAATTTAATGAATGAAGAACAATATGCTGAATTCATTAAACATGATCACAGTTAATTCTAAAGTAAGTAACTGATGATCTGTTAGACAAAATTAACTAAGTATAGAATATTAATAATTGTTTTAAATTGATTAATACTTTATGTCTTTACAAGTACCCCAAGTATGTATTATGACTTCTGTATTTTTGTTATTTTTTTTTTTGTTATTGATTTACCTAAGTTGTATGCATTTATCTAAAATATGAACCTATTTTTTTAAACTTTTACTCAATAAAAAAATGTATGAATCAAAAATTTGTATAAATATTGTTTGTTACTAAATTGTTATGGGTGTGCAGATATTGGTAGAGTAGTCATACATAACACATCAATGCACGCGCATACACACATACATACACACTTTTTTTTTATATTTATATATATATTCTTTCACCCCTAAGTTTTAAAAACCAATTTATAGTCTAATTTTGAATATAATATGATTATTGATTTTCATGATAATATTGAATATTGAGGGGAGGAAGTTCACAGAGTAGTCAAGTGCCTACACTGACTACCCTGTGTGCATTATGCACTCTTATGGTTAAGACCTTAACTATTTAGATACTATTATGTTTTGAATATTTTAAAATAATCACTTACAAGTCACAACTAATCTCTGTATACAGTGTACTCTCGATTATCTGTTGTCTTCCGCGAAATAATCTACATACCTATTATTCAAAATAAAAATATATAAATTATATACATATATTTACATTATAAATCATTATCGGTTTAATCTGGTAATTTTTGATGGCCGATTACTTGATAAGTAAAATACATTACGCTTGTTTAATATTTACGGAAGAAAAAAAAATTTCTAATTCCAATTTATTTTTTATTATTTTTTTTAATTTTGCGGATTATCCGTGGAATTTGTTTATCCATGGATGTTCTGCCACTCTATTCCGTGGATAATTGAAAGTACACTGAATATGATTTTGACAACTTCTTATAAATTGTAATTACAATGTATGCTTCATCGAGCTTTTTCAACTTTAACTGTGCCTAAGTATCCTGCGCAATTTGTAAGTATTTTTAAGCTAGAATACATTTGTTGAAAAACCTGGATAAAGTTTGGCCTACTTCTTAGGGTTAGGTTAAGGGAGGGATGACTTACAAATTTTTAATTCTTGCTTACAAATACTTACAAATTGTACAGAACATTTCGGCTCTTTCAAAAACTTTGAAATGATAAAACGGCCAAGTTTAACAGAAATTAATCATGATTTAAGCTTTTGTGGATAATTGTAAATGGCTGTACTTACAAATTCCCAATTTGTGCTTACATAAACCTACAAACATAATTATTTACATTAAGCGGCCCAACTTCATGGACCTCTTAAATAGTATATCAGGAACATAGAAACTTCATGACCTATTATGAGATAGAATTCAATGATAATTGATAAATCATAGTTTACTAAAAACAATTCTGAGTGAAGACATATTTATTTCTAAGGAATTAAATCTATACATATTATTAGTGTTTTCTTAATTCTGAACAAATTTTTTCCAAAAATACTGTATATAACTATTCAATACTGACAATCGACATACCCTTAAATGGTATTAATAGATATATTTTAATTGCTGAACAATTTATGAGGAACCTGTTTCTAGTGTTGTACTAAGATGTTGTTGGGCCCTATTACTTGAAATTGGGAGAGAAAAATATTTCATAACTTTTGGTTGGTGTGTTATGTGTAAGCGCTGTAGGTATATAGTCAAGGGGTGCAAGTTGACATTTTTTTTTAACTCATCAAGTTAAGTATATGCAGACACATTTAAGTTAAGTTGAAAGTTGAAAGTTACTTTTCTTATTTATGTAACTCGTTAAAAGTTAATTTGAAAGAAAAGTAACTTAACTTAGTTATAAATAAGTAACTTTTTTTCATGTAAAATTAATTATTATACCTTTTCATTAAAGCTTAACAAATAACATAATATAGGAGATCTTACAATATTTTCAAAGTATATATAATTGTATTCATTACATATTTCAATAAATTCAAAAATTCAATAAAACAATTAAATTATATTAATGAACTTTCGTTACTCACTAGTTATTTACTCGTAAATAATTTCATAAATTGGATAGGTAGATAGTTGTACTTATTCGTTATTAGTTTATGACATTGTTTTAATACCTATTTAAATCTCAATACAGAAATAATGCAAAACAATTGCGACTGTTTACAATTTAGGACTTATTTAGAAATTTAGAATACAGAATAAAATAAGTACCTAATAACATAAATAGTATTTGATTTTTCTGGCAATTGTTTTTTTTTTATAAATACAAAAATTAAAATATAGTTTTAAATCTATGGAATTGTAACTTAAATATAATTTAACGTGGTAAGTTAGAAGTTACTTATGAAAATACAAGTAACTCGTTAAGTAGGCAACTTGGTTAAGAGTAACTTAACTTAAACTTTTTAATTCGTTAATTGTATACAGTTATATTAAAGCATATTTTTGTAACATGATATTATATACACATGATCCAGCAATTCCCACCCTGGCCGTCTGAACAGAAAGGCCTCTTGTCATGGCTGGTAGAGCAGTCGCTAGGAAAGACGCAATCGAGCAGAACCTCTCTTCGTTGTACAGAAAATTCATGTAATAACTAATAGGTAAGTGATTAGCGGTATTTAATAAGCTATAGTAATTTGTAGTTTACGCAGTAAATAAACGTATCTTTTAACCATTTAAGAATGTTCTTTGCGTATTATTCTTTTAAACACTTCCTACTCTCTTAGACAAGGATAACAATACTACGGTGCACATCAGGTGGGTAAAATTATGACTTGCTACACCTGAAAAATATGACTTGGGCGCCACTGAAACATGTAATCTATATAAGTCTGTGAAGTACCAATTATTCCTATGACTATAATATCATACACGTCATGAGTTGACGTACTCCGCGTAATAGGTAATAATTAATAAATATGCTGATGTGCTCGTTAAATAACTTGTACTACAGTACTACCTACCCAACAAAATCATTCCGTGACATGCGTTTCACAACCATAAAATAATATTCTTGCACCTTCATATTATGTCTACGTACAATTAATAATTATTATACATAAATGAGTGATTAATATACATCTTAGTGTAGGTTCGAGTTTTCGTGCTCATCAATATGAATAGTGTATGAAAAATGTGTACGAATGTAATACGATAGACGTCTAAACGATTATATTTATATGTAACAGGGCAATAGGCAGTAGGTAAGTACTAAGTAATAACAAACTCGTTCTATCTGCATGGTCCATATAATGTGACTGGTAAAATAAAAAAATATACAACGAAACATAAAATACGTCCTACACAATACACTTTGGTGACGATTTAATATCACAAGAAAAACCTAAACCCGGTAGCAGATTGACTATTGAGGAAGCATTACAGTTTTCTTTCTTTGCGCAGTCTGTCGCAGACACTCGAATCTCGATGGTTTAATCATTATTCACGTACGGATTTCCGATAACTATTGGTGAGTGGTACACATAATATTATTAATATCATATTCCCATGTTGTTTATAAGCTTCATGTATATACGAGTATAGAATAGAGCACTAAAGCAGTTATTGTAAGTTTAGACGAATGAATGAAGTGGAAAGGGTTATTATATGAAGTTTGTGGTCCACCATAGGTGCTACTAACACTTACTTACTTCATTTATGTGAACTTGAAATGCTTATCAGTTATTATTGAGCGGTCACACACAATCCGTCTTATTTTCTGTTTTATTATTATTTACTTTTTACAGTTTTAGCTAACTCCTAAGTATTTATCACTGATGGACCGTTCAGTTGTGGACATGGTATGAAATAATTAAAAATTTAAAAACTGTTTTGATTTTTTGAACAAGTGCGACAACTTGCAAGAGTTGAATATTGCATGGTCGATGTATTGAGCATTCTTCAATTCCGTTTTACTTATACTAACTTAATTTTAGATAAAATGGATAGCTAAACAGATTTGCAATGTGCTTTAAAAAAATATATTTGAATCACTTGTTAGTTGTTAGGTATAGACTTTTAGTTATAACTTATAAGCGATAACTGATGAGTGAGCTCACCAACCAACCCAGGTTGAAAAATGACCATAATATTAGAATTGAATGTATATTAAATTTCGAAAAAAGTCAACATTTTTCGAAAGTATGAGTGTTAAATATTGAGAAAATCAGAGAGCTTATAATATAATAAATTAATTTATAATCTTAAAAAACTCCTGAAAAACATTGAATAGATTACTTAACGTACAGAACCATTAAATACAAGGGAAAATACCCCCAGTTTTTAAAATATTAGAGATTAGACCAATTATATTTTAATATAATACGTCATGTAACTTAATAGCATTGAAATATTACCGAATGCATAAGTAATGAAAAGTAATAATGTCATACTGAATACTGATGTCTGATATAGTGATATATTGGCATATTGCCCTTGAAGCAAAAATGTTTGATACGAGAACAAAAATAATCATAATACTATAATAGGTAGGTACTGTTTTTTGATTGTACCTATAGAAAAAATGTGCCAATAAAAATATAATATTATAATGTTCGATAGTAACTAATAATAATATAAGATTTAAACTGTGCAAATTAATAAATTTCCATATATTTGACTTGAATTGGTTATGACTTATAATGAAACACGTCTATACCTACGTTACAATATAATATAACATTATAGATTCTAATTTCTAATGATATACTTGTATAGACCTATCTTTGCACATTTTTGAGTAAATTCTTAGGTATACCTGAATAAATGCTATATATAACTTAAGAGTTACATAGTTTTTAAGATAATTCAAATTTAAGATGTTAAATTGTAATTTGTTTACAACAATAATAAGTACTATAGTAACTACTGTAGTTGTTCAACGGTAATTTCGAAAACGTTTAATCATTCAAAATGAAGCAATAAAATAACATCTATAAAAAGCGTCACAGCTGTAATGTACATATTGAATTTTGTGCATTAAATAAAAACGTCCTACCACCATCTGTACCATAGGCGTCTGTAGGGGGGTGCCAGGGGTCTATGGCTCTCGCTTTTTTATATTAACTGTTATATCAATTGTAAAAACCAAAAAAATAGTGTGTGTCGTTATCAGAGATTTTTGACTTTGAGACAACACATCACTCTTTTAAGATAGATATAATTTTGGACATTACACCAAGTACATCAACTGTAATTTATACCT